ATTATTGACCCTAAGGGACCGTTTCTCCACTACCAGGTCCATTGCAAATGAATGGTTTGCAGAACACGGAAGACCTATTGGCATGCGAAGTGTTTACCGACGAATGAGAAGGATTAGCTTGTTTTCATACCGGCCACACTGGGTCCTCCCTTTAACTCGAGAACACCGACGTAATCGCCTTGAGTGGTGCAGACAACGGTCACTATGGGATCAGGAATGAAACAGTATTGTCTTTAGTGACGAGTCTCGATTTTGTTTAGGCATGCACGATGGTCGTGCCAGGGTTAGAAGGCGACGTGGTGAAAGGAGGAATCCACAGTTTTTTGTTGAAAGACATGTTCATCACACTGTTGGAGTTATGGTTTGGGGTGCTATAGCTTATGGTTCCAGGTCACCTTTAATCTTCATCAGAGGTAACATGAACGCGCAGCGTTATATCCACGAAGTTCTAGAACCCCATCTTTTACCCCATCTTGACACCCTGGCAGATCCAACTTTCCAACAAGATAATGCCCGACCACATGTTGCAAGAGTCACAATAGACTTCTTTCAACATAATCATGTCACATTGTTACCATGGCCACCAAGATCTCCCGACTTATCCCCAATTGAGCACGTGTGGGATATGATGGGTAGGAGATTGCTCAATTTGCAACGTCCTCCTCAGACTCTAGAAGCACTTCGAGAGGAGTTGGTGGGTGCCTGGAATGAGATACCACAGGAGGACATTGACCACCTGATCAGAAGCATGCCCAGGCGCGTTGGAGAATGCGTAGCACATCAGGGTGCATCCACACATTATTAAAGGTCAAAGGGCTTTAAAGCAGTGCAATCATTTTGAAATTTTTATCATTTACTTATTATGCATCATTAAGTACTTATACAAAATTTTATTAAAATAAAACCATTTAAACTGGGTGTTCGGATTTATATGTCACTTAGTATATTTACAATGTAATCAAATTATGTATTTGTTTAGATCGTGACTTAAAAAAACAATTCAATACCTAAATTCAAGAAAAAAGTGAAAGAAATTCTACTTGATCAGCAACGAAATCTGTTGTAACCCATAAGTGTTAATTGACCTCATGTTTTATTTATGCCTTGACATTGATTTGTCTTCATTTTGTCGTTATTGTATTCAGCTATTAATTTTCAACAAATTTTCAATTTATATACATCTCATGTTGCTAATGGGGGCCTCCTGTAATATTATTCTAAATAAAAAAGACGTCAATTATTATTATTATATAAAGGTGAGGTTCAAGATCAAATCCAAGGTCACCGCTTCTTGTGAAAATTTACTAAAGACCCGACCTTACCAGTTATTTTCGTCACCATTTCTGCGAGATTTCTAGAGGATTTCCTAACAGCACATATTTGACCTGTATTTAACCTATTTGACCTTCAGCGGTCATTTTGATCTTGAATTTTTATACATATTCGAATGTAAATTTTTCCGCTATTTCGATTGCCAACATCAAAAAATGATTTCTTACCGATACTGTTCCTGCCGGTTTCAATAAAAAATGACCCCGTCAAAATTTACTAAAGAACCGACCTTGATAGTTATTTTCATCACTAATTCTATAAGATTCATAGTGGTTTTCCTAGCAGCACACATTTGACCTCCATTTGACCTTTAGTGGTCACCATGACCTTGGTATTCAATTCGTACTTGAACTTTTGCTCTTTCGATTGCCGGCATCAAAAATAGATATTTTTAATAAAAAATGAAGTTGTCCTTGAAATGACCATGAAGGTGAGGATCAAGGTCAAATCCAAGATCACCGTTCACTCCCTCCTTAAAATTTAACAAAGACCTGGCCTTGATAGTTGTTTTCATCACTCATCCTGTGAGAGTTATAGAGGTTTTACCTTTAGATGGCACCCTGACCTTGGGCTTCAATTCATATTTGAACGTAAAATGTTCCGCTCTCTCGATTGCCGGCATCAAAAATAGTGATTTTTATTGAAACTTTGAAATACCTTGAAGGTGAAGGGCAAGGTCATATCCAAGGTCAGCGTTCACTTCCTTGTTAACATTTACCAAATACCTGACCTTGATAGTTATTTTCATCACTCATCCTGCGAGATTCAGAGAGGGGTTTCTAGCAGCACACATTTGATCTTTATTTGACCTTTAGTAGTCACCCTGACCTTGGACTGTAATTGTGTTTGAATATAAAATCTGCTGTTCTTTCGACTTCGGGCATCAAAGATAGGGGTTTCTATTTGAAAAAATAAAGTCAACCATGAATTAACATTGAAGGCGAAGGCCAAATTAAAAGTTGCCGATGAATTCCTTGTTGAAAGTTACTGAACACCTGACCTTGATTTTTTCCAAAAATACCTAATCCGAATAGAGAGCCGTTCCGGGACTTTTCTGTCGCGCTGTATGCCTACTTAAGCACAATATGCTCACTAGCCGAAGTGACAGCGAGTGTCAAAGGGCGGCCGTCAGACCCCTAGTTCGATCAGTAACCCCGACCAAAATCAAAATCATGGAATGTTACAACACGACCTCGGAGAGCACTCTGACCGAGGTGTTCAGGTGCTTCATTTGTATGGAAAAGCTGAGGGATGCACATTTGTGTCCGCATTGTTCAAAGCTGTGCTGTTACGTTTGCATCAGGCGCTGGCTTACCGAGCAGAGATCGCAATGTCCCCATTGCAGGTAACCGTGCCGCAACATTTAGGACATTAAGTACATAGAATTGAATAATCATTACAACAATTATTATACAAGAGGAAATATAGATTTCCTAGAACTAGCATATCAATATTTCTGAAGGGATTACTTAAGTTTAATAAACTAAATAATGGTATAAAGCGTACCTGTAATCTAAATATGATTAAAAGAAAATCAAAGGAACATTTCATGGACAAGAAAGACCGACTACCATTGCGCTGGTCATTACCCTGTGCTCAACTTTTATATCGTGCTGGTTTTTGGCATTGCGAACCGCCTCGTTATATTTGTTTCTGTACTCGACGTCGGCTTGTCTGTTCTCAGTGGAGTTTTGTAAGGAGGTTCTTTGTACCTTGATCTTCTGCTGGCGAGCAGTGTCACACGATTTGTTAAAGCAGCCGTTGGACGCTGGTTTAGGCACTTCCACTGTATGAGGGATGTATTCATCCATCCCGACGCATCCGCGTCAGAAAAACAAACATCTCTCCAAGGACAGGTAGAGAAGAAGTCTCTGAGCCCCTCCCAGTCGGCATGTCCATGAAGTTCGCCAAAATAAAATAATTTACAAGAATTGTAGAGGTTGGATATACAAAATTTCATATCATTTTTCATTCTTATTTTCATATTTAAAATAAAAATTCATTTTTTCGGCAACATTTAGGATATTATATAGACAATACATGAATAATCATTACTACAATTATATACAGGAGGAAATATAGATTTCCATTTACAAAATTGCAATATTAATATATCTAGCAAATCGTTTTTTCAGAAGGGATTCCTTAAATTTAATAAACTAAATAATGGTATAAAGGCTACTTGTAATCTAAAGATGAATAAAAGAAAATTAAATGAACATTTCTCGACAAGTGTAAATTCTTAGAGATAGCAAATTTTGTTTTTTTTTTAATATTTGTATGTTATGTAACTGTAGCAGTCTTTGAAATAATGTAATTGTAGCTCATGACAGAAGTGTTAAACCCAGAAAAAATAATGTCTTGAACTTGTTTTTTTGGCAACATAATGACTATATTTAAAGCATGCTGTGGCAACAATGTCAACGTTGTATCTTTGTTTTTGTTTACCTTTGTTAAAATCTTATCTCTCAGTTTTTGTGAAGCAGTTTCTGCGACCTGAGTAGTATAGATATTTTTAGTTATTGCCCTTTCATTTACTAGTGTTAAGCATAACAAAATGTCTCGAGTTCGAAAACGTCCAAATTATCACCATGTTAGCGACTTTAATAGTGGTAGAATTATTGCCCATTGAGATGTTGGTTTGTCCTATCGCGAAATTGGCCGCCATGTTAATTGTACTGTAATGACGGTAATGCGTGTGTGGATAGAAGAAGGTAGAGGAACACGAAGAAGGCCAACTGGTCCACCGAGGCGTACCACATCGTCAAGATAGGCGCCTCAGACAACTAGCCATACGAGACCGTTTTGCTACTATGCGTCAGATCGCTGACCAATGGTTTGTAGAAGAAGGTAGACTTGTTAATATGCGTACACTCTATCACCGCATTCGAGCCTTTGGACTTTTTCAAACCATCCACGGTTAGTGCTTCCTCTGACTGCGGACCACTGTCGTCAAATTTTGAACTCTAGCAGAGAACGGCAACATCGGGAAGCAGAATGGCATAATGTCATCTTCAGCGGCGAATCGCGATTCTGTCTAGGTATGCACGATGGTCGTAGAAGGGTACGACGCCGCCATGGAGAACGGCATGATATTGGATTTGCTGTTGATCACCCTTTCTCTTTATTCAAGCCAATATCACTGATGCGCGTTTTGTTGATAATGTCCTACAAGCCACTTTACTGCCGTATCTAGAGAGCCGTCCACACGTCCTTTTTCAGCAAGACAACGCACGGACTTTCTTTAAGAAGCAGGTGTTAATGTTTTGCTGTGGCCCCTCCGTTCATCGGATTTAAGTCCCATCGAATATGTGTGGGATATGATGGGGAGGAGACTATCCACTTTGCACCATCCGCCACAGACTCTGCCACAGCTAATCCACGAAGTTCGAGTTGCTTGGAATGAGATGCCACAACCAGACCTCGATCATCATTCTCTCTATGCCTAGACGTATACAGGAGTGTATTCAGCTACGGGGTCGCGCAACACATTAATTTTTTTCTTATTGTCAATAAAATTTCTTGAGAATGTTATCGTTTCATTCTTGATGTACTATAACACTACCTTATTGCCAAAAAGTCAAGTTGCAGAAATTATTTTTCTGAGTCTAACACTTCTAATGTCACCGAGTGTATCTAAATCTTAAACACAGAAAAAACTGTTTTAGGGCCTCCCTTCATTTGCACGAGCTAGTAAACTGTCGCTGGGTAGAAGAGGTGACCCAACAGTTAGATACACTCCAATCCGCCCTGCCTACGGCGCTTGCAGGTCTGGGCAGCGCGAAACCAGACAGCGACAGAGACAAGTGCCTTTCTCATCTGGAGAAGCTGTCCGTCTACTGCTGGACCTGCAGGTGCTGCATATGCCACCAATGCGCCCTATGGGGAGGTACCCACTCTGGACATCTGTTTAAACCATTGGACGAGATTTACGAACAGCACGTAACGCAGATCAAGGTGAGTTCTATTGATCTACATTTATGCACCGTGCGGAGCAGAGCAAGTGTGCGAAATCTGATATACAGGGTTTGTCCGGAAAGTAATAGGACTGAGTCGATTTAAAAAAATTTATTGAGCCAATCGTTACAATTCTTTAAAAACTTTCAAAATAGGCTCCTTCTGCGTCGATGCAGCGCAGCCAGCGCGATTTCCAAGCATTGAAGGCGTCACGGAAGGCATTCTCCGGAATAGCCTTGAGAGCCGCGGGGCATGCTGCTTGGATCCCCTCTGTCGTCTCAAAATGCTTGCCTTTCATCGGCCTTTTAAGGCGAGGAAACAAAAAAAAGTCCGGGGGGGCACATCTGGGCTGTAGGGCGGCTGCGGAAGCGTTGGGATGCCGGCCTTGGTCAGGTAGCTGTTCACAAGAAAGGCGGTGTGAGCCGGGGCGTTGTCGTGGTGCAACTTCCAGTCGGCTGCGATGTCTTGTCGGACCCGACTGACCCTTCGTTTGAGTCTCCTGAGCGCTTCCACGAAAAACTTGGCGTTGACGGTTTGTCCAGGAGGAACAAATTCATGGTGGACGATGCCTTTGATGTCAAAAAAGACAATGAGCATCGTTTTCACTTTGGATTTGCTCATTCTTCCCTTTTTTGGGCGAGGAGACGCCGTCGTGTGCCACTCGGAAGATTGCCTCTTTTTCTCGGGATCATACTCAAAGATCCACGACTCGTCACCTGTGATTACGTTATTCAAAAATTGGGGGTCACTTTCACACATGTTCAAATTTTCTTGGCACACTTCCACTCGCCGCAATTTCTGGTCGTCAGTGAGCACTTTTGGGACCATCTTCGCGCACACCTTGCGCATGTTCAGATGCTGTGTCACAATATCATGAACCACAGATTTTGGTAAATTTAACATCTGGGCAATTAAACGAATACTTAGTCGACAATCTGAGTTCAAAACTTTGCGCACACGATTCACATTATCGGTGTTTGTCGAAGTCGAAGGTCATCCAGCACGGTCTTCATCAGCGACCTCTTCCCGGCCCTCCAAAAAGGCCTGGTGCCACCGAAACACACCACTTCTTGCTAAAGCAACACCTGGGTAAGCCTGCTTGATCATATCAAACGTCTCTGTCGCAGATTTACCGAGTTTCACACAGAATTTAATCGCGTACCTCTGCTCTAACCAACGCTGCATTTTCGGCTTGCACCACTCACAGAAACACGTCGCGCGAAAATGCCTGTCCTGACTCTCCAAGTGCTCGGAGACAACTGACCAGCCGCTCATTCGTTAGCTATGAACGCCCTCTACCGAATCCAAGTACAGTCATGGCGGAAGAAAATGAGTCCTATTACTTTCCGGACACACCCTGTAGTCTGATCATACAAAATGTTAGACGAAAATACCCCTGGTTTGCGAAATAATTGTAAAGTTTGGTTTTATTGATGCAAGTTGTTCAAGGGGGTATCTAAAACATAGACGCATAAAATGGGTACACTAATTTTTGTAGGAAAACTTTTTATTCGACAACAAAGACTGAGAAAACGTGAAAACAGGTTTTTTGAGATTCACTCAAAAGTGTTGGAAGGAACGATAAACTCTTCAAATAAGGTTTTAAGGTATTTACGAGACGTACAAAATGAGACCACACCCGAAAAGATCCTGCTAATACCAAAAAAGTTATGGCCGAAAACCTAGGCGAAATGCAGGTTTTGGCACTTGGTAATGCGACGATAATTTCACGCAGATACTTGAAATTATTCGTATCCGTAGGCTTCATACTTCTACAGTCAAAATCACGAAAGATGACTATTACGTCATAGCATAAATTGTACTGAAGTAATCAATGGACGTACGTCGATGATAAAATCACGATGTCAGGGACATAATGACAACAAATTTATATTATGATTTTGCGAAGTTAGATTATTTTTATTTTACTTTTATTTCATGGTTATAAGTGATACCTCAATAATAATTTTAGTGGGGAGTTTTTGTTTTGAAAAAAAACAGTTATGTATAGTATAGAAATACCTTAAGACAGGAAACAAAACAACCTAACCGGCTTTAACATAACCTAACTATTCATCTTTCAAATATGATCGATCTTGCAACATGAAAACATCGTCTATCTTTATCGGATACATGCAAATTAGCAATACAGCTTGTTTAGACAATAAAATTCTGTTTGTCTCTGTCTAACATATCTGAAACTTCATTAAAAATATTCACAAATCGCTGTCGTCTGTCTTTACTATAGACGAAAATGATGACGTAATCGTCATCTTTCGTGATTTCGACTTTAAGTAACCACAACAAAATTTGAGTAGGTTGGTCAAGTAGTTTTTGAGAATTTCTAATTGGGCATTTTATAACAAAATACACGAGTTTACTTTGCCGATATGAATCACAAACCATTCCGAAAGATAAATGCTATTTTTATGCGAAAAACAAAGGGATTCGTTTTTTTTCTTCTAAACAAATTCAAACATGTCGAATGATATTCTCCACAGGATGAAGTCGCGCAGTTAAGGAGACGTCTCATGGAATTGATAAGTATTGTTCAAGAAGTTGAAAAGAACGTTGAAACAGTAAGGTAAGTCTATCAGTATTTATTTGGTCGCGTTCTGAGCCTCAGGGTGATTGTACGAATACGAAGTAAATTCAACGGTTGCGGCAAAAAAGTTCTGACTAAAACGGCCAAGAGAAAAACCTGGACAATCTTTTCAATTTTCTGAAACGCCCGCTAGGGGGCGTAACTGCAATCTTGAATCTAAAAAAGTGATGTTTCTGTGAATTCCGCTATATTAACCTAACAAAAAAATACCTGATATTTATAGCCGAGGACAATGTGCTGTATCTCTAAAAATAAAGTTAATTTTTAGTTGAAATGAGCTATTGTTGGGCTACAAATGTTATAATATTTGAAGTTTTGTTAGTTTTACATGTGGCCGTTAGAGGACGTTTTTCGACATTCCGACAGAAATGCTTGAGTTTCTCAAAAAAATTAAATGCATTGGTATGATTTTTTTGATGAAAAAGTAGCTAAATGATGTCTAAACAAGCTCGCGAAAATCGCATCTCGATATCTTGTTCCTAACCTAAAATCCAAGTGCAAAAATAAGTTTTGCCGTGTTTTCAGTGGCACATCTTCCAAAACAACGGTAATTGTTTATCCAACAAGTCATTGCCATTTAGGGACTGCTCAAAAAAATATGGCCCAATAATTCTGCCTCCCAGTATTGTCACACCACACATTTTCTAAAAGTAATTAAAAAAAAGTTAAATTTAAATAAATCCCTATATTTGGTACTTTAAAAAACTCTGAACCGTTGTTCGTGATACGTCCAACTCAAATAATAATTCCCTTGTGTCAACATGAGGATTCCCTTCAGTATATCCCAGTACGCGGTTAATATTTTTTTGTGTTCTTCCAATTCTTTACCGTTGAGACGTAGCCCGAAAATTTCCATTGGCTCTTAAGCTCACCACTAATCTGGGATAAACTCTCACGTCGCAAAGGCGCCGATTTGGATATCGAGTCGCGTAAAGTGTTTATGCTACTGCGGCATTCAAAATAGGTAAACTGCAAGCATATCAACAGCTTCAACGTTCGTAAAACGCATTTGTCAAGCACAAATATTGCTCAAAATAACGCGAAACTATTGACAATTTGATGATTATTTATGTTTTGATTAGATATTTGTTTTGTTGTATTCCATGGCCTGCTTCTATTAAGTGTCTTCTTCGTATATACCCATAGTGAACATGCATTTAAACAAAAAAGATGCATTTTATTATTAGCATTACGTTTAGCGACATTTTGTAATATTTTCAAAGGGAGTGATTTTATTCTGATGAATAAAAATAATTCCAGAAAAATAGCTTAAAAAATAAAAATGTAAGGGATTTCCGTATAACATTTTCTTAGGCCTCAATTTTAGGTTAGGAACAAGATATATCGAGATTCGGTTTTCGCAGAGCTTGTTTAGACATCGTTTAGCTACTTTTTCATAAAAAAGTACATACCAAAGCATTTCACTTTTTTTGAGAAAATCAACCATTTCTGTCGGAAGGTAAGCATTGTCTAATTTTGGATTTAATGTTTTTGGAAAAATAGTTGCACGTGAATGTACAGGTCATACACGGCAATGACAATCGTTAAAAATGCACGAAAAAGATCAAACTATACAGGGTGTCCGCAAATTTGGGGTTTTCCTTTACACGACGTGTAGATCTTGAAAACATAAGCAATTTTTCTTAGTACCATATACACCAATGTCTTAAGGGAACCGAGATAAAGGGCTCTGCAACATCAAACATATATGAATACCGTCCTGTAGCCGCGACATCCCCGACTGTTACTAGGACACTAGCTCAACCCGACGACAGAACTAGGTCAGGGTCAGTGTGTCAGGTCAGTATGCAACCTTCAACCGACGGTTACGGTCACGCGTATAGAGGTAATCGCGTAGACGAGAATCTCTCAATAAGCACTAGAGACGTCTCTAGAGAAGTGCAAGTATCAAAAACTAAAGTGTGGCAAATGCTGCGTGAAGAGGGGCTGTATCCGTTTCACGTCCAACGTGTACAAGCCCTTCAACCTGACGATTTTCCAGCAAGAGTGCGGTTTTGTGAGTGGTTGTTGCATCAACATGACAATAATCCGGACTTTTTGAAGTGCATATTGGTGACAGACGAATCTACGTTCACGCGTAATGGAGTGAATAACTTTCTCAACACTCATGTTTGGTCAGTAGAAAATCCGCACGCTGTCCGTCGGGCACATTTTCAACAAACATTTTCGGTGAATGTTTGGGCTGGCATGGTGAACGGTATGCTCATCGGACCATTTATTCTCCCAAATCGATTGGACGGGATGCAATACCTAGACCCTAGACTTTTTACGCAACATTTTGCCTTCCTTGTTTGCCTGCGTCTGCTCGGTAGCGCATCAGCTGATTTCATTTTCTGTTGGAGCGGTATGATTTCGGGCAGAGACGTACTTAGCCCTTCTCGTCAACTGGAGAGTGAGTACTTTTTCATTTATTTTTTTTTAACTTGGTTGCCCTCGTTTCACTACACATTACCTTTGTTATTTCAAGGGTAGTTGTTTCTGAAAAGGAAAACCCCAACTTTGCGGACACCCTGTATATTTAAGATACTTTCAACAATCCTGTTTCAATTAACTCCACTAAAAATACTGTAAGGCCTCATTTACAAACTATTATGTTAAATGAGGTTTGACATTTTCACAGTTGTTGCAATTACGCATCAGGCAATCTTTACCATATGTGTTGTGTTGGTGTTGTTCAGGTATATAATTGAGAGTTTTCCACGTTTAGACTGTGAACAATCATTTCCATATTGGCATATGTAATACATTTACAAGGGTATATATTACACATTCTCAGAGGCTTAACATACAGGATGGCCCAACGAAAAGGTCGCGATTTTCCATGAAGTTATTAGTAACTTTTATATAAATAAAGTTTATACATATCTTCAATCGTTGTCAAGTTATTTGAGTTTATAATAAACACCGCCGAGATCTTCATCTTTGGGGCATTTGATGAGTAAAATTTTTAGAGTGAAGCCAATTTCCATTCAAGATCTTCGTCAGCGGATTACGGGTGAATATAGACAAATAACTCCAAGGCATTCTTGAGAATATGAGGAACTTTAATGTGCATGTAAACTGCTAGTTGTTTTTTGTTTTTCTAATACTCGGAGTCCTGTTTTTAATTTTAAAGTAAAGTCTTGTTACTATGGGAACTATATTGATTATTGTTTTTTCGATATATGTAATGCCTTATTATCACAATATCTAGAATTTTATGATAAACTCAAATAGCTGCACAACGACTGAAGATAGATATAAACTTTATTATACAAAGGTTATTAAAAACTTCATGGATAATCTAAAAATTAAAAAAGAGGGTTTCAATTAATAAATCTAAAGTGTAACGCAATATCTCATTTTTGGATCACCCTATATTGTTAGTCTATAGATACAAAGATGTTACACAACAAAAAGAAAAGGGTGCTAGTCCATGAATGGGCGCTTGGGGCCTAATATCCCAGAGTCCAGAAAACGACGAAACGACCCCTGCACCACGACCTCAACGGAAACAGAAAAACGAATCACGCAGAATACGTAACGTTCTAGAAGAAGGAATCTTGAGTGGCCTTGAAGAAGATATGTTTTATAGGAAACCAAATAACGGAGCAAAACTACAGAGTTTTTTGCTGATCGTCAACACCATACAGAATCGCTGAGAAAGAAAGATATAATACGAGTGAAATTACACAATCAATAAACTATTAAATTTGCAAAAAGAAAATAATTGAAAAGGGTTTGGCCTAGGAATGGGCACTCTATTATCAATGAACAGAAATTCACATTACGGATAAGTGATAAATAGTAAATAAAAGGTTTCGTGATTTTGGCACGTGACACTATAGGGTGACTTCGAAGTTGAGTCATTTCTTTTAACAGTGAGTAGATCTGATCAAAAGAAATGTTTTTTTCCTTTAACATTTTTCTGGTAAAATTAAATTAACAAAGTTATAGTCCTTTAGAAGTTTGAGTACCGCCCTGTCTCAATAATAATATTATGTGCTCGTGTTTGGCAACATCGGATATAATCCGTCTTATCGGTTCATCGCATCGGAAACAAAAAAGCGAAAGAATTTGAAACGTTTATCACGATGTCAGTCAATGAGTCAGTCGGTAACGCGTGAGTGAATAGTGGTGTTTGTTGCGTGGCTCAAACGAAATAAAAAATGTCACATGTTTACGAAAATGCTGAACTTGTGGACATGATTCTTATTTACGGGGGGGGAGTCTTTACAAAATGCTGCCGCGGCATCACGAATCTATGCGGATCGGTTTCCCAATCGAGTGCAACCAACCCCTCGTGCCTTTGTTAATGTAGTACAAAGGGCTCGTGAATCAGGTGACTTAAGACCTCACAGGGCATGCCGGTGCTCCAAGACCGCACGATCAAATACAGGTCCGCACTGAAATACTTGTCGGGAGGATACTTTATAAAACAAGGTAACATTTTTTTTAATTTTTTTTTATTTTTACACATATTTTGGTTTATCTTCCTTCTACAATCATTATCTGAAAATTAATGACTCAAATTCAAAGTCACCCTGTATATACTAATTGCTTAGTACTCAGTATTCGTACAATCACCCAATAAAAATTTGGAGTCGTCGTGCATGTTATTTTATCAGACGAGCCAACTCTCACACTGCTTAAAATACAATACTTGAAAAGTGCAATGAAAACTCTTATGTAAGATTATTATAAACCACTACACAACGACATTTAAGTATATTAATTCAATGTGATAACGTGTAAAGACTTTCTAGTAACTGTTTCTAGATCAGCCAAAGAAGAGCGAGTCAGAGAAATAAGGTCAGTGGTTGAATCGATGATATCAAGGTTGGACTCGCAGTTGAAGACCAAACTGTTAACATTGATGGGGCAGAAGGATTCATTAACACAAGTATGTTCCACAAACTTCAAGTTTTTTTCAGAAACTACTAGCGATGAATTAAAAATATTCACTATCTGGCGTTATCCACAGTGTATCCCATATCAATGGAAACACGCTATACTTGTTCCGCTACCTAAGTGTTCTGATCCTACTAACTATAGTATTGCTTAGTGGTTTACTAGCCCTATTCAGATATTAGAAGAAGAATTCAAAGTATTATGAATGCATGTTGCAGTCTTCTAAATGACCTCAGAAAATACGTACATATATCAAAGACCATTAATGACATCAAATGGATGACAAAAATTTGTTCATGTCTTGCTTAGTTTTCGAGAAAAAAGTCCACTTAATTGCATATCTCTGGACCACACAAGGAATATGGGAAAAAGTTTCTTTTGGAAATTATTTCTTTTATAATTATTTATTACTAATTATATAACAACAACAAATACTAAGTAACATTAACATCTAGACTAACAAATTTCACTAAAATGAGTATTGGAAATGGCCCCTTGGCTTCAATACAACCGACTAGCTGCCTTATCATTGAATTACACACTTTCATTTCTTGAAAACTAAGCAAGATACGAAAAAATCAAGAGACAAAAAAGTGGTATTTATATTTGCTTAATCCAAAGAACATAGCAAAAATTGAAAAAAGTCGGTGGTGTATAATTTTGTTACACATATCCGTTCAGGTCCCGCTCGAGACGCCATTGGACTTTTAATCGAGTTAGGGCTAAATTAATGTCATAAATACCACCGCCAAATTACAACAAAATTAAGTAAAAGATATACTCAGTGACATTAGAAGAGTTACACCCAGAAAAAAATGTATTCAACTAGTTTTTTTTTGCAACATAATGACTATGTTTAAAGCAGGCGTGGTAACAATATCAACGTTTAATCTTTGTTTTTGTTTACCTTTGTTAAAATGTTATCTCTTGGTTTTTGCGAAGAAAGCAATTTCTGAGAGCTGAGAGTACATATATTTTTAGTTATTGCCATTTCATTTACTAGTGCCAAGGTTAACAAAATGCTTCGAGTTCGAAGACGTCCAAATTATCACCATGTTAGCGACTTTGACAGGGGTAGAACCATTGCTTAACGAGATGTTGGTTTGTCCTATCGCGAAATTGGCCGCCGTGCTAATTGTACTGCAATGACGGTAATGCGTGTGTGTCGTGTGTGGGTAGAAAAAGGTCGAGTAACACGAAGAAGGCCAACTGGTCCACCGAGGCGTACCACAGTGCGTCAAGATAGGCACTTTAGACAACTAGCCCTACGAGACGGATTCGCTACTACGCGTCAGATCGCTGACCAATGGTTTGGAGAAGAAGGTAGACCTGTTATTATGCTTACACTCTTTCGCCGCATTCGAGTCTTTGGACTTTTTTCATACCGTCCATGATTAATGCTTCCTCTGACTGCGGACCACCGTAGTCAACGTTTGAACTGAGCAGAGAACGGCAACATTGGGAGGCAGGAATGGCATAATGTCATCTTCAGCGACGAATCGTGGTTTTGTCTGGGTACGCACGATGGTTATAGAAGGGTAAGACGTCGCCGTGGAGAACGGCGTGATATTGGCTGTTGATCACCCATTCTCTGTCGAGAGGCATCTACACAGGCTGTTGGAGTAATGGTTTGTGGGCCAACTGCCTATGGTCGCCGATCACCCCTTCTCTTTGTTCAAGGCAATATGATTGCTGCGCGTTATGTTGAAGACTTCATACAAACCACTTTACTGCCATATTTAGAGGGCCGTCCACACGTCCCTTTTCAGTAGGACAAGGCACGTCCCCATATTGGTCGTCGTACAACAAGAAGCAGACGTTAATGTTTTGCTGTAGCCAACTCGTTCACCGGAGATTTAAATCCCATCGAACTGCCGCTTTGTGGCACGCCAGACTTTTCTCGGTCCACGATGCGGATTATAACTCGACGGCTGGGAGCGGAATACAGTAGAGTAGCAGAGCGGAGTGTATTATAGTCCAGTCAATGGCGCGACATAAGATTTACAATAGTCAGACATAAATAGTGGTGTTCATAAATGTTCTATCTATCGAGTTAAATAAATTAGTGCATTTCTCTGTGGAATCCAGTGTTCTAATCCCCACCCAAAAGAACTCAGAAAAACGCTACATTGGTGTCAGGTGTGGCGGTGTGAATTATTGGACATTTAGTGAAAATAAATCGGACGAAATTGCCGATTTAAAAAGAGGAGGAAAGAGTGCGACACGGCTGGAAAGAAAACAGAATTACATGAGCGGCTTCGTGAAGCACTGATTGAGGAAGGCGAGGACCCGGATAATTTCATTTTTAGCGGTGCAGGGAATATTGATTTAATGCTGCAAAACCTTTCGACCGAGTTAGAAAACAATTGTGCCGATCTTTTAGAAAATTCAGCCAAGCTAGAAAATAGGCTCGAGGAAAATTGTGCCAACCTAGAAGGAAAACTCTTGGGGTTACACGAAAGTACAGCCAAATTAGAAGAGAAGTTTTTGGAAAATACTGCCAATTTAAAAAAAGAATTTGAAGATAAAATTATGGAAAAATCTTCCGAATTGGTCAAACGGATTTTTACTCTGGAGGACAGAATTCAAGAAGTGCAAGGCAAGTTTGCCGCTTTAGAAGTCAAGACGAACGACAGCGTCGACTTCCGTTGAAAAAATCAAGTGAGGTTGGAGCTTGTTGGGTTAGCTGGGCTACAACACCTTGGAATGTCTACCGGTAAGTTTGAGGAGCCGCGAATGCAAATGGTTGGTCATCGACCGAAAATGCAACTGCACTCACTTTGGCCCTACGAGGAGATGCTACAGCTATTCTTCAAAGAATATCACCCGAAGAGCAAGAGGTCTGCGAACAACTAGTAGGACATTTGGAGATGCAATATGGCCAGTCAGATTTAGAACATGTCTACCATACTCAACTAAAGAATCGGTTCCACAAGTCAGGCAGGATTTCGAAACGGATATTGCGCGGTTGGTAGGATTAGCATATCCCGATGTTCAGGAAAGGATAATGGAGCGATTGGCAGTTCAAGCATTCCTAAGACTTCGTGATGGTGAAATGAGACAAGCCTTACTACTAGCACACTAGCACATCCACCTAAGCTAGTAGATGCGCTAACTTGGGCCTTAAAAATCGAAGCCGCTAAAAACACAAATAAAAGCCAGGACTGAGTCCGCCAGATGGTACCAGAGAAAAGGAGTTCGAAGTGTCGATTGTTAAGGAACTTGATGGTGAACGTCGCCGCCTGAACAACAAGTTGGAATGTTGGAAATTTGAAAAAATAGGGCACATTAGGAGACGCTGTTTAGAGGATTGTAAGCATTGCCAGTGGGCAGAGCAGAAAGAAGTATTAAGAACTAGTATCGTTAGTGATACTTGGCAAAAAAATTAAAGATCAAGAGGGCGACCTCGATCTTCGAATAATTCTGAACTGGATGAAAGAACAACGGAAACGAGCCTGGGAGGAAGTTACTAAGTATTCCCCTACCATAAAATCATATTGGGCACAATGGAATTCTCTAGTTATGGACGACGGACTCTTACTGCGTAAAATGGTGGACCACGACGGAGAAGAGGAAAGAAGACAAATCGTTATCCCCAGATGTCAGATCCCGGAGCTGCTTGAAGAAATCCATTCTGGTGTTTCAGGAGGTCATCTCGGAGTTACAAAAACCCTGGGAAAAGCGAGGGAAATATTATACTGGATCAATAGCAGGGAGGACGTAAAGGACTGGTGCAGAAGATGGGTTGTGTGTGCGGCAAGTAATGGACCGCAAAGGAAACCAAAAGCATCGATTCGCCAATAGAACGCGGGGAGCCCCTTTGAAACAATTGCTATTGCGGACTATATAACTCGACCGCCGGGAGATAGAAGCGGAATACGGTAGAGTAGCAGAGCGGAGTGGATTATAGTCCAGTCAATAGCGCGACATAAGAATTAGTCAGACATAAATAGTGGTGTACATAAATGTTCTATCTATCGAGTTAAATAAATTAGTGCATTTCTTTTTGTGGAATCCACTGTTTTAATCCACACCCAAAAGAACCTAGAAAAACGCTACAATATTTAAGAAATTTACGAAAAAACATTTTTATATTTTGATATCCTGTATCTCGAGAACGAAGAATTTGCGGACTTATGTTTATATGAACTTTTTGTCTCAAAGAATCATCTGTTAAATTTATGGTATATCTTGCTGTTTGAAAAAATAAAATCGATATATTTCGTTTTCCTAAGCCAAATACTGTAAGAAATACACATTTATTCTATGAAATTAGATATGAGAATAGAGGGCCGTCAGACACTTTTAGGTCAGTTTAGTCTGCGTCCAGCAGGCATGGTTCGACCCATCGGAGCTCCTTAATTAATAAGAGTCCTGATAATTTTATTAATTCACGCATTTTAGCCGTTTAATAATTATTAAACTAGAATATTAATGCATTAACTTCATTTTCCCGGAATTCAGCTTGCTAACTTACCTATTCATTGATATTATTATTCAGTGTATACCATCCGCATGGATGTGGTTTGCTATAAACACGCATGTTTACTTAACCTCGATGGCTGGCAACGGACACCAAATATGCCCCACTTACAAACTTGTGAAACATTTCAGGAAACAGAACAATTGGAGCATCTTCTACACGAGATAGAACATCAACTGCATGTATGCACAAGATCAGAGTTGATAATGAAAAGTAACGATTTATCGCGGATGATAAATGGGATAAGAAAAAAACCAATGACTAGTTTCGTAACTCCTCCAGTACCTGCAGATTTTCATAGGTAATTGTTTTTAACTGGGTCGGGGTCGTTCGCGCCGCGTTAAATTCTGCTCCCGGCAGCGTGCCAGTCTTGGTAAGTGTTCTGGTGTTACTGCCGCGTCTGAACGGTGACCAGGTTAGCAGTGTTGCCAGAGCGAAGTTTAAAATATCCGTCACACGTATTGCAAAATTCCGCTACATGCCGCTACGGTCTAAAAATTTAAGGGGGGGGGGGGAGGCTTAAAATAAACGACAAATATATCTTTTACATATTTACTTTTTTTCAAACACTGCCTAAAAACCCTACTAAAAATACAAACAGTAACATAATATAATTGTAATTTTTCGTAAAAACATAAAAAGTATACCTCTAAGAAAACAAAACTGTCTTTGGTTTAGAATTAGGAACTAATAAAAAAATAGAAACTATCACCAATATCTTAATCTTAATAGAAAAAAAAACAAAAAATAAGGACAAAGAAGAAGCGGAAACGTGGAAATGCCTACGTTTGCTTATTTTATTCACAGTGTGAATCAGAAATTACTTCTTCTTCAGCTTGTTCTTCCTTATTTACATTATATAAATTCTTTTTATATTTGTTTAAATGATTCTCATTAAAACTATAGGATAAACCGCACTGTTTTTTTAATTCCAAGTCTAATTTAATTGTAAGTAGTGCAGACAAGGTTGATGGTATTATTTTATTTCTTTTTTTTGTTTTGTAATCAAGCATATAAGAAAAAGTTCGCTCAACATCAGCGTTTCCATGAGGCAATGTTAAAATGATTAGAGCCAGTTTACCTATATTGCGAAATAAATATTCGTCATTAAAATTTTTGAGGTCGTTTACAAACGACCAAAATTCAATGACATTACTTTTTGTTTTTAAAATTTCCTCTTTCTCACTATCACTAAAATAAATACATATTTTCTTTAGTTCCAAAATTGCCTTTTCGGTTTCAATATGAAGGGCAAATTTTTTTAAAACGGCGTCATGAAAGGTATCACTTATAATAAGACGATTGTTCATCACATCAACCGGTGAGAGAAACTTTAGCTCTGAAAAGAAGTTGTCTTTGATAGGAAATCTTTTAAGGGACTCTTCTACCGATTTTTGGTAAAATGTGACACATTTTAATTTAAATTGATCGATTGCCGTGTTATTGCAGTGTTTTATTGCATCCATTGTATGCGGACCAACATTCACTTGTTCAATTGGTAATAAGCAGTGGGGATCATTAGGATTTAGATTATATAATTTCTCATTTTTAAAATATTCTGGTCGCAAAAAGTTTGTACATAGATGACGTACAAATCGCTCACTCTCTATTGATATGATATTGAGCATAACTTTCTCTGATTGAAAGAGAGCATTAAATTGGTTAAAAATGGGCAACACGAATTTAAAAAACATTAAATACGTATTAACAAATGGATTCTGTAACTCATTAAGTATTACATTTGCTACAGGATTTTTGTCTTCAATGGAAGCTAATCTAAATAGGCTAAGCAAGATGTCCCACTGATCCAAAACTCTATCAACACATTTGGATAAAGCAAGCCACCTTGTTTTACTAGGGCTTAAAATTTTTAATTTTGACTTTTTGAAATATTCCTGTAATTCTTCAAGAACACACTGCCTTTTTGGGCTTCTTGAGAAGTAAGAATATAAGTTTTGTAAAAGAGATTCAACGTTGCTTGGAATCTTTTCAGCTGCCGCCACCGCCACTAAATGAGCAGAGTGGCAAATGCAGCCATTGACAATTATATTAGGATTATCTTTTAAAAGATAAGTTTTGAAAGATTCGTTATTGCCCATCATAGCACTAGCGTTGTCGGAACAGTATCCAACAATATTGGTAATTTTTACTTGATAAATGGGTTTTAATTGAATTTTTATGAATATACCTTACAAGAATGCATAGTAGTCTTGTATTGCTCAGGTCTGTACTCTCATCCAATAAAATAGAAAATGGTTTATTTTCCAATTCTGAAATTATTTCGTCTTTAATAACAGGAGCCAGCACATTTTTAATCATACTTATGCATTTGGATCTTTTTAATTTAAGTGAGCTAGAGAGATCTGGGTCTTTAAAACATAATTGACTAACTCCTGTTATATGATCAACAGTTCTAAAACTTATATAATGACTTACAACTAAAAGACTATATCTTAAGCAAGCAAATATTTGCCGTTTTTCCAACTCACGTGCTTCCCGAGACTGAAAAGTGCTATCTAACGTTCTTACATTCGAAATTGCTTGTACATTAGTGGCATGCCTTTTTGATTTCGAATGATTCACTAAATCTGATTTTTTAGCACCCATTATTTTTCAATAGGTCCCAACCAGCCTTTAAATAACGGATCTTCTAGCCATGATGAAGTAAACATTTGTTTTCGTGTCTTTTTCTTAACAGGTTGCTCTGGCTCTTGGTTATCCTGAGATTCACAAGTCGAATTATCAGGCTCAGACCTGATTCCACTAGATTCCGCTCTTCTATTTTGTCTGTATTCAGGTTCGGGATGCTCCGAGTCCGACACAGATGCAGTCGAAGTGGATGGTACGGCCACGTTTGGTTTCACCGTTTGTTTTTTAGAAGGATTTTTATCAAAAAAATCGTTAATGGTCTGCTGTCGCCTTTCCATTATTCCCAGAAGAAAAAGCGTTAAAAACAAATTTCGCGACTAAGATTTATTTCTGGATCAAACTATAATATGTTAGATATTTAAGCAGTTTTGTTACTTACCAGTAGATTTAATATTAAAATCTGCAGCAAATGATATATCAATAAAATGATCAACACAAAAATAAGAACACTAATATAAACGAAACTAAACCGTATATACCCAGAGCTGAAAAATACAATACAAAGCGAGAAACCTAATATTATGTCTGCCTGCTGAGACCTGTTAGAAACGATTAGTATTGAAAGCAGTACGTACGCCATCTGTTATTGAAAAAAAGGCAAATGGAATAATTCTCTTCTCTGTTCCTAGATGGCTCAAGCGGCACCAAATGCACCAATTTTATTATTAATGTGATAATAAATCAGACTCTAGCCACTGCCTATTTAGGATTTAGAACGTTATTAACGTTAAAACAGTGAAATAAATATGATAGTTTTGTATGTAATAAATTCCGCTACATTTTGGGCTAATTTGCTCTACCGCCGCTACGCCGCTCTTCTCAAAATAATCCGCTACAAATAGCGGAATTCCGCTACGTATGGCAACACTGCGGGTTAGGTATCAGGCAGATGCGACGTTGCCAAATTCTTATTTATTTTTAGCGAAATCGTTCCGCCGTATGACTCAAGCACCTTCATAATGTACAACTTCTCGCAGCTGCAACGCAAAGCTGATCCAGTCTATTCCAACCCTTTGCAATCTAAAGGATTATGCTGGAGGTTGAAGGTATACCCTGATGGAAATGGGATTGTACGGGGAAATTATTTGTCTGTATTTTTGGAACTCACTACCGGCTACCCAGAAACTTCAAAATATGAATACAGGTAACCACGCTTAATGTACATGCCACTAATGCTTGGTAGCACAGCGTTGCTAAGGTTAGCTTCAAGCTAAGCAGAACATTAACTTCCATTATATTATTGCACCCGATACGCTTAAAACTTAACAGACAGTTGAGCGGAGTCGTGGAATTTTTCTGCTTAAGGTGGATTTTCTAACCTGTAATGCCAACTTGCCGGTTTGACATATTTATTATTTGACTGACTGATGACCAGTGTTTGTCAAGTTTTTTGTAATCTAAACTGCGGAACTGCGGATAGGGAAAGTTGTTGTTGTTTGTTTGTTGTTTAAGATTTACTTAGCTTGATTGCTACAATTACATTCTTTTAAAAAACTACAACAATTACACAACATACAGATATTTAAAAAAACTAAATTTGCGTCTCTAAGAATTTTCGCTGTCCATAAAATATCCCTTTAATTTTCTTTTAAACATCTTTAAATTACAAGTAGCCTTTATGACATTACTAAGTTTATTAAATTCGGGTAATCCTTTCTGAAATATTGATTTGCTAGTTATATTACAATATAAAAAATGGGAAAGAATTATTACATTTTTTTAATACATACTGAGATTATTGGAAACTCTATAGTCTATAGAAGTACTTTATCTTTTTTGATATTTTTGAAATAATGTACCCATAATCCTCTTGAAACAGTAGTTTACTATCGTTTACTATCCATGGTCGGTATTGAAACATCGAATGACTTTTTTTACCAACCGAGTGATTTGGTTGTACGTGTTTCTGAAACGTCAAGTTACTACACTTTTAGTCATGAATCGCTTAACATCGAAATAACGCGCCGAAATAGTCACAATGTACATTGAAAATCATCGTTCAGTTGTGTTAACGCAACGTGCATATCGTCGAAAATATCGTGGCAAACAGTCACCGTCTGACAACACTATCCGGCGTTTGATTTCGAATTTTCTTGAGTACGGGACAGGGGGAGATCGTCAACATACCGTTCATCAACGACCAAGGCATTCCAATGAATTGGTTGAAGCGGTCAGAGACAGCGTTGCCCAGAACCCAAAAGTGTCAGCATTTTGAACGATGATTTGCATTTGTTTCCTTATAAGGTGCAGTTAACACAAAAAAAATATTGCCAACTGACCGTCCACGTCGCTTGGAATACGCCCAAATAGTCACTCGAATGGTTGATGCTGAACCTGATTTTTGGAAGCAAATTTTGAAATGATCTACAATAACACCAGTTCCCAAAATAAAAAATTCTAAAAGATGCAGCGATATGAGACCAGTAAATGTGTTACCAGACATTGAAAAATTATTAGAGTCCATAGTGCATGACCAATTAATGCAGTTTATAGAAGAAAACAAAATTTTAGTGGAGGCGCAAGCAGGCTTTCGAAACAAATATTCCACAGAAACGGCTTTCCAGTTGGTAACTGAAAATTGGAGAAGAGCCATAGACTCAGAAGAAGTTGTCATAGCAGTATTTTTGGATTTGAAGAGGGCATTTGAAACGATTGATAGAGATATTTTGTTAGTTAAATTGAAGGCATATGGTATAACAGGAAGTGTTTTAGATTGGTTTAGAAATTATTTGTCTAAAAGGATGCAAGTTACAAAAGTTAATGACACTATTTCATCAAAAATTGAAAATACGTTGGGTGTTCCACGGGGCAGTATCCTGGGACCACTTCTTTTTATTTTATACATAAATGATTTACCTGCCATAGTCAAAAAATGCAAAATTCAGATTTTCGCCGATGACACTATGATTTATATAAGTAATAAAAATATTCAGTCTGGTATCTCTTATATAAATGAAGACTTGAAGCTTGTCTCAAAATGGTTAGCATCTAACAGACTAAAATTAAATGCAAGTAAAACAAAAGCCTTGTTAATCGGAAAAAAGCAATGTACAAATGTTCAACTGAATAATGATGGTGAAGATATTGAATTCGTAGAAAATTTTAAATACCTGGGGATTTTTGTTGACTCTCGATTAATTTTTGATATTCATTATGAAAAAGTTATAAATAAGATTAGTAGTAAAGTGGGATATTTATCGAGAGTTTCTGGATGTCTGAGTTCATATAGCAGAAAAATTATCTATAATACCATCATTCTTCCAAATTTCTTGTACTGTTCGACTATTCTATATTTAGCAATTAATTCCATTTTTAAAAAATAAGTGCATGAGAATAATACTAAATAAAGATAAATATACTCCAATTAGGCAAATGCTTAGCAAATTAAAATGGCTCAAGGTAAAAATTTTTATCAAATATCTTGTAATGATATTCATTTATAAAGTAAAAAATAATATATTTCCATCAAGTCTAACTAATTTAACATCATCAAATGTCCATCATCATTTACATGATACCAGAAATAAAGATGACTTCCATTTAATGACAAAAAAGTATAACATATGCTACAAATCTGTATTTCATCAAGGGTTGATTGAATATAATAAATTATACTCGGAGATAAAAGACCAGAAAACTTTGACAAAATTTAAAGTAAAATTGAGAAATCACTTGTTAAATCTACAATTATAGGTTGCCCAGCATTTACATCATACACCATATGGCTTGAATTTACTAGTTCTAAGTTGTTTACAATTATTCTGTTTATGTAGACAAATGTGCTAAATAAATATTTCTACTATTACTACTACTAGGCTAGACTAAAAACGAGGCCCATATTTCACGCTCTCTGACGGCGTTAATAAGCAAAACTGCCGGATTTGGGGGACGGAAAATCCACATGAGATCCACGAAATGTCGTTGAAGGACCGGAAAGTGACTGTTTGGGTCGACGTTTACGCCAAAACAACCATCATTGGGCCATTTTTCTTCAACGAAAACGAAACAGTCGATGGTAATCGATATCGGTGGATGTTGGCTCATTATGTCTGACCACAAATGCGCGAAAAAGGTCTTGATGGTCACTACAAATGGAACAATCCAGTTTCTGCAACGAAAATTCCTTGGACGTCTGATGTCAAAAAGAGGTGACATTGACTGGCCACCCAGGTCTCCAGATTTGACCCCACCACCGGACTTCTTCTTGTGGGGTCATTTGAAAAGTCAAGTGTACGGCAGCAAGCCCCAGACCACTGAAGAACTCGAGGCAAACATTCGTACCGCAATCGCCGGTATACCACCAGAGATGCTGGAAAAAGTAATGGAAAACGCAGCAGGACGGGCACATTTTGTGTTGGCCAATAAAGGTGGCCACTTGATGGATGTTGTGTTCAAAAACTAGTCCCAATAAATTGTAAAAGACCATATTTAATAAAAATACCCGATATATATTCGTTTTCACAGTTATTTCATGTTTACATACCGACATAAAAGATGGCGCACCTATATGCTATATAAGCTATATACCGGGTGATTCTCCTCACCCCTATAACTTTCTTATTATTGAAGAAATTTGAGGGTTGCGTATTATAGATGAATTTATATTTTTTGACATATTCACTTGCTTTGACGTACTTCCAGTTTGACCGGAAACGACCCAACTTTCGATTTTTAAATGGGACACCCTATATATTTTTACTTATTTCGATGGAGAATGATATTCTGAACTCAGCAACAATTTAATTGTCAATATTTGAACAAATAAGGTCATTTTTTCAATTTTTATTTTTCGATCTAGAATGCCATGGATCTTATAAATCGTTTCATTTTTATCAAGTAACACGGGAAAAATACGATTTTGAAGCGAACCACCTTACAGTCGTTTAAAAGATTTGCTGAAAGTTACAAACACTAATTTTTTCAGTTTACTTAATTTTGTCAAATACAGGGACCGTCAGTAAGAACGCATGTTTTTTAAATGAGTAGTACAGTCAAAATAACTATGGGAAAAAATATTTTATTATATCAAAATACTCAGAAATACATGCCATTTTTTGAGTAAAACAAAATTCACGTTCTAAAAACTATGTCGGTCCATATGGCGCCCTCGAGCCGAAATGCAGGAATCAACCCTCTCTCGAAATGGGCCCACAATTTGGGTTACTTCTCTTCTTATTTCCTCCTTCAAATGGACGACGGTCCGAGGCTTGCTTTGGTAAACTTTTGATTTCAGGTAGCCCCATAAAAAATCACACGTTGACAGGTCCGGGTAGCAAGGGGGCCATGGAATATCGCCATGACGTGAAATGAGACGTCCTGGGAATTTTTGCCGAAGAAGTTCCATCGAAGTGCGGGCTGTGTGAGATGTTGCCCCGTCTTGTTGGAACCACACTGTTCAATCATGAGCTGTGTAAAATTAATACGTTGTACATAATCCCCTGGCAACAGTTGTTGACAAGCTTGGATTTTGTAAGGATGGAACACTAAATCCTTCTTCAAGATGCGTCGTACAGAGGACGCGTGGATCCCTAGGGAAGTGGCACGCAAACGGGCGGAACGATTCGTGTCAACTCTCACTCTATCTACATATTCGGGGGTTCTAACAGTATGGTTTCGCCCTGGCGGTTTTTTCTTCATCACATTACCTGTTGTGTTGAATGCTTCCACCCATCTCAAAATGGTGTTACGGTCCGGTACTGTCCCACGACGTGGAACACAAAAGTGAACGCGAAACTCACGTTTGAAAGTACCGAGGTACAGTGAACACACGATGCTCAACGTTCCATACCATCTTGCTAACTCAAACGGCACTTACCACTATCCAACACGCCCTTCCCCACCGACACGGGACCAGCGCACTCGATGTAGTACCGATTCGAAAAACATGCGTTCTTTCTGACGGACCCTGTAGAAAGGGGGTGGCTCGTCGGCGATTTCTAAGAGACCATTTTCTTACAAATAATTTGACACCACACACTCTTATTTTATTTTCAATATTTTTCTGAATAATTGTAAGAAACGATCATACCTAAAAACAAATAATTGCAGGTGGTGCTAGTTACTTGTTGTTACTTCAACAAATATCTATCCTAGGTTATTAAAAATACTGTCAGTTTTGAAAATGTATTTATACGTAGTTAATTTACAATGGAAAACTATACTAGCAACGACAAAATTGGCATGCTGTTGATTTACGGGGAAGTCAGAAAAAATACAACTGAAGCAGCTCGAATTTATTCTCAGAGATTCCCTAATCGCCATCCCCATCGGCATTATTTTCCGAAACTGGAACAGGAAATACATCTGGTTTTTGACTAAATCCACAGAAGATGTACGTTTTCCGTTTAAAATTATTCATTCAGACGAAAGTCGGTTTACCAACATGGGTATGTTCAATCGGAATAATAAAAGGTACTGGTCACAAACAAACTTACGTCTAATACAAGGAAATTTTCAAGATCGATTTAGTTTCAATTGCTGGACGGGTATTATCGGAGAAAAATTTTTTGGGGCCAATCATTTTCGATGGACAACTTCCAGAGCACATCACCTATTTATACAGACTGTGCCTGGCGACTACATACTTGACGTGGGTCAACACAATATACGGACAAACTGAAGGTGTGGCAATGGGCAGCCCTTTGAGTCCAGTGGTAGCGAATTTCTTCATGGAGGATCTTGAACATGCCTTCAGCAGTGCACCATACAAACCCAAAATATGGTTTCGATATGTCGATGACACTTTTGTAATATGCAGCCACGGACCTGAGAAACTTAATGAATTCCTCACTCATATCAATAACATACATAACAACATCAAATAAACCATGGAGCTAGAGGACAACGGCAAACTGGCTTTCTTGGACGTAATACTAACCCGCCGAGAGAGACGATTGGCACATACGGTATATAGAAAACAAACGGTATCTGCATACGAAGGGAGGCTATATAGGTACACAAACACAGGGACAACTTTAACAAAATAGAGGAATCGCTGAAAGTAGACAAAACTTGGCTATCAGTATTAAAAAACACAAAAATTGCGTCATCCAAATGGCAAAACAGCAGCCGAGTTATCCCGAGCGCGACGTCAGCCGAGAATTCCCGAAGAGCTCTCCCCACCACCCAAGACATATATAAATATGAGCTAAGACCGCGGAGATGTCAGTAGCTCACAGGACTCCGAACTGTGAACATCTTCTGAAGATGTCAATCATTCGTGTTGGCGAAATGTCAAGTAAAACTATTTTACGACGGCCTAACTACCCAAAAACCAACCAAATAACATTACGTATTATTTGTTGTTAAGTATGATCGTTTCTTACGATTATTCAGAAAAATAGTGAAAATAAAATAAGAGTGCGTAGCGTCAAATTATTAGTAAGAAAATAGTCTCTTAGAGAAAGCCGACGCCACCCCCTTCCTATTTGAAAAAATCAAGTAAACTGAAAAAGTAGTATTTGTAACTTTTAGAAAATCTTTAAAACGACTGTAAGGTAAGTCAAAGAAAGTGAATAAGTTAAATAATGTAGATTCATCTATAATACGCATCCACCAAATTTCGTTTATCTATTTACAATAATAACAAAGTTATAGGAGTGAGCCACCTTGGAGAATCACCCGGTATATCAATGCATCGTCCGCAAATATTTGAATTTTGCAGTGTTGAAAATGTCAGAGATCATTTATATATATATATATATATATATATATATATACAGTGCTTTTCTTTAATGTCCCCCTCCTTTTGATTTTTTTGAACGGATCAATTAAAAAAATTAAAACTTGAGGTAATGAAATTGATGCGTGGATACTATATTTTAGAGTAAAATTGACAGATGAAAATGTCAAGATTGCCGCTGGGCGCCATCTTGAAAAAAAAATATATGAAAACGGGGGTCTTGTGGCACATCATTTTGAAGCTCCTGACGAGTACTTTATAACAATAGAATATGAAATCAATTCCTTTACCTACTACAAAATGGTGGTACATTTAATAATTACTTAAGATTGGCCTACTGTAACTGGTTTCGTGCTCAACTTCAAGAATATAGAAATTTTCATTATTATATTTTGTGGTCTGATGAATCGCGTTTCGCAAATCTTGGGTTACTTGATAAAAACAATACACATTACGGGGCAAGTGAAAACCCACGATTGATAAGAGAAGCGGCCTTTCAGGACCGTTTTGGAGTGAACGTGTGGCTCGGAGTTCTGGGAGCCCGTATAGATTTTCTTGATGGTTTGCCCCTGGCTGGTAATAGGGATGTTGTATGTTTGCCCGACCACAACAGCAGATAAGTTACAAGATATTTGACGAATAAATTCGGGAATCGTTGTCTATTATGGAAAAAACAGATTTCCATTTGAAAAACGACAGTCAAGGTCACTTCCGGTTAAACCGGAAGGGAGAGATCACCTATTTAACTTTCCAGAAATGCCTCTTAATGACTAACTAAGCATGTCTCATTCTTGGAGCGTTATCTTTATTTGCCAAAAAACCGGTATACAGTGCTTTTCTTTAATGTCCCCCTCCCCTTTGATTTTTTTAACGGATCAATTCAAAAAATTAAAACTTGAGGTAATGAAATTGATGCATGGATACCATATTGTAGAGTAAAATTGTTAGATGAAAATGTCAAGATGGCCGCTGGGCGCCATCTTGGAAAAAAATTATATGAAAACGGAGGTCCTGTAGCACACCATTTTGAAGCTCCTGGCGAGTAATTTATAACCCTAGAATATAAATTCAATAACCTTTACCTACTACAAAATGGTGGTACATTTAATAATTACTTGAACACAAACCCACTAACATGCTTATCTCTAAAAATAATTGTAATTCCCTGCTGTATCCACAGCAACAGCGATAAAAACTTGTTTTGTTATTTTTTGTTGACAGTGACAAGAATATCAGTACGAAAACAAACATCATTGTACAGTTAAAAAATTCTTATTTAGTTTTCGGTTTTAGTGCTAGATACTGTTTGACCTATTTTTAAAATGGTCAATTCTCGGCCATAGGAAGAAAAAATCTAATAGTAAATCCCCAACAGTCTACTTCCTCCATCGCGAATGTATGTGAGGTTTGTCCTTCTACTGTGTGGAGACTTTTGAAAAAGAATAAGTAGAACCCATACTAAATTCAAAGGTACATCAGCTAACTGAAGATGACCCTGATCAAAGGAAATAATTCTGCGAGACTATGACAGAAACCATTGCACGGCATCCTACCTATATCCAAAATATTTGTTTTAGCGATGAATGTACATTTTTTCTCAACGGTAATGTGCATAGACAAAATTGCCGTTATTGGAGTGACACCAATCCTCACGTCTTCCGGGAAACTCATACTCAATATCCACAAAAAATTAACGTTTGAGCTGGGATATTGGGAAATCATATTGTGGGGCCTTTATTCATCGAACAAACTTTAACCGGGGAACTGTATTTGGATATGCTGTAAAATACTATTGACCCTCTAATCACCGAAATCGTCGAAGCGAATCCTGATGAATTCGATACTGATATTGTATTCCAGCAAGTTGGTGCTCCACCAAAGTACTACAGACAAGTTAAGAATTATTTAGATAACAATTTCCCCGGTCGTTGGATTGGCCGTCGAGGTCCTGTCTAATGGCCAGCTCGCTCACCAGGTTTGACACCTTTAGACTTTTTTATGTGGCTATTTAAAGCAAAAGTTGTACGAAACTGAACTTGCCTCAATATTGGATATGCCGCTGAGAATAGCAAATATTTGTAGAAATATCGATGTTACTACTATGTATGTTTGAAAATGTTCGACGCGGAATTACGGACCGGCTGTTATTGTGTCAAGAAGTTCAAGGCAAGCATTGCCAGCATCTTCTAAACTGAACTCAACGTATTTATTCGAATTATTAAGTTAAATGTCAATTTATTCAGGTAATTATTAAATGTACCACCATTTTGTAGTAGGTAAAGGTAATGACTTTATATTCTAGCGTTATAAAGTACTCGCCAGGAGCTTCAAAATGATGTGCCACATGACCCCCGTTTTCATATAATTTTTTTTCCAAGAAATCAAAGGGGAGGGGGACATTAAAGAAAAGCACTGTATATATAATGTACTCCCCTGTGCTACCTCTACTGATATATTTTTAACGCTTCACATAATATTTCCAACTTTAGTTGTTTGACTTCTATTTACTGAACAATTTTGTAAAATCTTTAATACCGATCCTGTAAAACCATTGCGATGTAATTTCATTAACACTTTTTCCCTATCTATAGTCTCAAATGCCCTTTTGAAGTCTAAAAATACTGTTATAATAGATTCTTTCTAATCTATACTTCTCCAGTCTTTCACCACGATTTGGATTGCTGTTTCTGTAGAATATTTTTCCTAAGTCCAGCTTGATTTTTGTAAAAATTTCGGTTCCTTCAATGAATTGAATGATTACTTCGTATACGTATATTATCCCTCCGGCCGCATATTTGTATATAGTTCAGAATGTTGAACTTTTGGCACAGGAGTAATGGTGGAACAGTTTAATTTTGATGGGAATTCACCATGTATTAAATAAACACCGATTCACCACTAATAATAATTTCTCTCCAATATATTGAAACAATCATTTAATATCTTTTTTGAGTAACTCTCACTATTATAACGTTTTGTTGTAGAGTAGAAATGGTGCATCAGGCAAGTAGAGATTCATCTAAAAACATTATCAGAGAGTTCGCTTCAGATTTTGAAGTTGGAGAGTGTTGGGGATACAACAGATTCTTCAGACTAGATTTGCTGGCTAGCGAAGGGTACTTGAATGTCACTATGGACACATTAGTATTAAGGTAACTGTGATTTTCATAGTGTAGATTGTAGATGAATCATGGACATTGTTCAATTTACTTCATCAATTCTCGTGTTTAGGTATCTTTCCCTCTTATTAGCCTGTTGTCAGCTTAATACTTTTAGAGCTTTTTTAATCCCCAAGTTTTGTTAGTGCAGTATCGTCAGTCGTTCCTAAAACTATTGTAGGACGCCTTTATGGCCTCCTTGATTTTCATAGTTTTCTACTGACCCGTATCAGCGCTCTATTTGAGCTAATGTTACAAATACCTATTTGCATCAAATTGTTCATGATTTATATCATCTGTTATACCAGCCTGACATTTGCTACAATTTAAAAACATAGCCTCACAATAGGAGAGCGCTGACGCTGACTCGGAACAGTAGAAACTTAGGAATGTCCCAGCCTTTCTGAAGGTGAGAAAATACTATGAAAATCAAGCAGGCCATAAAGGCGACCCACAATTGTAGAAACGACTGACGATACGCACCTTAATGAAAATACATTCATTTTTTGGAATTGTTTCCTAGATTTCAGATAAGAGCACCGACGTTCTATCAAAAATGTCGTGATCTCCAGTGGTATATTAATCAAATACAGTCTAGATCTCAATCCTGTCTAACACCGATTGAGAACAAGGTACAGGCTACTCGATTTGATTCACATCCCTCAGTCAATGGAGGTAAGAAATATAATTTGTGAAATACATGATGTCCCAATATTCCGTGGAGATAGAAGTACCATGCATTTTAAGACTCTAAGTTAGTCGATTAGTCTCAAAAATTTACCTCTATGGAAAAGTTTTTAGTTGTCCGTTTAGTTGTCTTGTTAACCCGTTCCTGGTGATGAATCCTTTTCCGCAGTCCTCATAGATGTATCTGGTCGGTTGGGCAGGCCCCAGGGTGGCCGTATTACTGGCTCCTGTAATTTTGTATAAGTTTCTTGGGCATGCCCTGCTGGTTCCGGCGGCTGGAGGCCGCTGGCAGTCTTGCTGCCACCCGCTGGCGGTCTGCGCTCCTATGATTCGTAGGGTTGCTGCGGGTGGCTAGACGTGGTGCTTTGGCACCACGTGTGTGGCTCTCTCCTCCTCTTACTGTGGCGGGGTCATTCCTCTTCTTCCCGGGGTTGGCCATCGCGCATGCGCCGCCTGCGCCGGATGACCGTCGACAAGGTCCTTGCTTTCTACGTACGGGAGTGAAGACCGTTCGCCGCTAGGTGGACTGGTTCAGGAGATATCGGGTTTAAAAGATTTGATATCCCAAACTACCTCCTTTCAGCTCCTGTTCTCCTGATACCTGGCCGCACTTGATACGGCCAGTACGGCGTTATTTTCCAAGATATCGAGCTGGAATTTGGTGTGTGCTTGGGGCCGGTAGATGATTACGTAGAAGCCTTTTTGGCCCAGTCGGACACGATGGTTAAGCCAAAAGGGCACTAGCGGCTAAACGCCGGAAACCGGCGTTGCGGGGGGTAATCGAGCTGGTGTAATGTTCTATCTGATGTGCGATGCCCCAAAGACAGTATGGGGCCCGCTATTCGTCATGTGATTCTAACCTTTAATGTATGATTTTAGGTTAGAATCGTGTTGTTTATATATATTTCACCACCCTTTGCACTCACTCCGCTGTCTTCACTCCCACGCACTAACCCCGCCACCACACGTGTGTTCACCCGTTGATCTGGGCGTCGCGACGCGGAAGAGTCTCTTGAGGCGTTAATTAAATTCGCGAGATCCGCACACACGTGCACACTCTCCAGCGGCGGAGAAGAGAGTTTGTTTGCCCGTCAGAGGGCGTCAAAGTTTTCTTTTTAAAACACACGCTGTATGGTCAAATATGTTGGTAATGAGCTTATCTACAACGTCCTGAAGTATTCTATTGTTCTAATATTGAAAAGGTATAATGAGCGACGTGGGCACCAATCCCATACCATCTACTTCACACGACTGTCCACCGGAGAAATGTGTGAGTTCAACGATTACGAAAGAGGCTGACAGTACGAAAATGGAAGAAGAGATGGATACCAGCAATAACGTTGCTACCACCAGCGTTACACCCACGAACAAAATCACGCTAACGTCAAAATCTAGCAACCATTCTGTGGGTAGTACTACGTCGGATTCATCCATACAAACACAGGTATCGATTGAAAAGTTTACCCATCTTACTTGTTATGCCAAAGCTGGCGAGGAAGTGTTGTAATCGCGAAAATTTTCGAAATTGAGATATTACGTTTTTTGGATATTATATGACGTACATAGGGTGTAAAGTTAGTAGTGGATCAACGGAAGTCAGGTCATAGAGGGCCTCAAAATATATCGAATGAACCAGTATATGTGTGGTCCGAAATTTTATAGTTCAGGAAATATTTGCCATTTTGGGAAATTTCGAAAAAAAACAGGATGAACTTTCAAACCGCGGTGATTCTAGCAACAACGGCCAGCCAGCAACAAACGATAGTCCCTCTTCTCACCAGCGGCCGCGTCGCGCTGGACACCATCGCGCGTCGCTACAGCAGCGAAGCCGGCGCAGCGTAAGCAGGCGGTGCGGCACCGTCTTCCCATGTAAAACGGTGTTATAGTATCTACACAAAATTATATACATTGTGTGTTGTCAGTGTTATCACACTATCTATCACATTCCGGGGCCGGGGCATATTAAGCCTACCAGAGGGAGCGAAGGTTACCTATACGAAACTCACATGGAAATTTGAAAATTAAAATTCTCAATTTTTCTTCAAATCAACACCACTTTTTTTTCACGAAAATCAATTTTACAATGTATCCTTCATATTCGGGATCGATTACATCTCGTGGCCGGGGCATATTAAGCCTACCAGAGGGAGCGAAAGTTACCTATACGAAACGCACATGGAAATTTGAAAATTAAAATTCTCAATTTTTCTTCAAATCAACACTACTTTTTTTTCACGAAAATCAATTCTACAATGCATCCTTCATATCCGGGATCGATTACATCCCGTGGCCGGGGCATATTAAGCCTACCAGAGGGAGCGAAAGTTACCTATACGAAACGCACATGGAAATTTGAAAATTAAAATACTCAATTTTTCTTCAGATTAACACCACTTTTTTTTCTTGAAAATCAATTTTACAATGTATCCTTCATATCCGGGTTCGATTACATCTCGTGGCCGGGGCATATTAAGCCTACCAGAGGGAGCGAAAGTTACCTATACGAAACGCACATGGAAATTTGAAAATTAAAATTCTCAATTTTTCTTCAAATCAACACCACTTTTTTTTTCACGAAAATCAATTCTACAATGCATCCTTCATATCCGGGATCGATTACATCCCGTGGCCGGGGCATATTAAGCCTACCACAGGGAGCGAAAGTTACCTATACGAAACGCACATGGAAATTTGAAAATTAAAATACTCAATTTTTCTTCGGATTAACACCACTTTTTTTTCACGAAAATCAATTTTACAATGTATCCTTCATATCCGGGATCGATTACATCTCGTGGCCGGGGCATATTAAGCCTACCAGAGGGAGCGAAAGTTACCTATACGAAACGCACATGGAAATTTGAAAATTAAAATACTCAATTTTTCTTCAGATTAACACCACTTTTTTTTCTTGAAAATCAATTTTACAATGTATCCTTCATATCCGGGTTCGATTACATCTCGTGGCCGGGGCATATTAAGCCTACCAGAGGGAGCGAAAGTTACCTATACGAAACGCACATGGAAATTTGAAAATTAAAATTCTCAATTTTTCTTCAAATCAACACCACTTTTTTTTTCACGAAAATCAATTCTACAATGCATCCTTCATATCCGGGATCGATTACATCCCGTGGCCGGGGCATATTAAGCCTACCACAGGGAGCGAAAGTTACCTATACGAAACGCACATGGAAATTTGAAAATTAAAATACTCAATTTTTCTTCGGATTAACACCACTTTTTTTTCACGAAAATCAATTTTACAATGTATCCTTCATATCCGGGATCGATTACATCTCGTGGCATATTAAGCCCACCACAGGGAGCGAAAGTTACCTATACGAAACGCACATGGAAATTTGAAAATTAAAATACTCAATTTTGCTTCAGATTAACACCACTTTTTTTTCTTGAAAATCAATTTTACAATGTATCCTTCATATCCGGGATCGATTACATCTCGTGGCCGGGGCATATTAAGCCTACCAGAGGGAGCGAAAGTTACCTATACGAAACGCACATGGAAATTTGAAAATTAAAATACTCAATTTTTCTTCAGATTAACACCACTTTTTTTTCTTGAAAACCAATTTTACAATGTATCCTTCATATCCGGGATCGATTACATCTCGTGGCCGGGGCATATTAAGCCTGCCAGAGGGAGCGAAAGTTACCTATACGAAACGCACATGGAAATTTGAAAATTAAAATACTCAATTTTTCTTCAGATTAACACCACTTTTTTTTCTTGAAAATCAATTTTACAATGTATCCTTCATATCCGGGATCGATTACATCTCGTGTCCGGGGCATATTAAGCCTACCAGAGGGAGCGAAAGTTACCTATACGAAACGCACATGGAAATTTGAAAATTAAAATACTCAATTTTTCTTCAGATTAACACCACTTTTTTTTCTTGAAAATCAATTTTACAATGTATCCTTCATATCCGGGATCGATTACATCTCGTGGCATATTAAGCCCACCACAGGGAGCGAAAGTTACCTATACGAAACGCACATGGAAATTTGAAAATTAAAATACTCAATTTTGCTTCAGATTAACACCACTTTTTTTTCTTGAAAATCAATTTTACAATGTATCCTTCATATCCGGGATCGATTACATCTCGTGGCCGGGGCATATTAAGCCTACCAGAGGGAGCGAAAGTTACCTATACGAAACGCACATGGAAATTTGAAAATTAAAATTCTCAATTTTTCTTCAAATCAACACTACTTTTTTTCACGAAAATCAATTCTACAATGCATCCTTCATATCCGGGATCGATTACATCCCGTGGCCGGGGCATATTAAGCCTACCAGAGGGAGCGAAAGTTACCTATACGAAACGCACATGGAAATTTGAAAATTAAAATACTCAATTTTTCTTCAGATTAACACCACTTTTTTTTCTTGAAAATCAATTTTATAATGTATCCTTCATATCCGGGATCGATTACATCTCGTGGCCGGGGCATATTAAGCCTACCAGAGGGTGCGAAAGTTACCTATACGAAACGCACATGGAAATTTGAAAATAGGGTTTGTGCCGTTGTTTGACTGAAGAATCTTTACATTCAGGGTCTCTAGTAAGGTTTTTTAGGAATACAGACGATATCACATCACATATATTTTTATTGCTATTTCAGTATCTTGAAAAACAAATTTTATTATCTTAGAGATGACTCCCCAGTTCTTCCTGTCCAGACCGCAAGCAATTCTGGGGAAGGCCACTTTGTTTACACCGTATAGGTTGGCATACTCGCGTACGCGACGCAACGCCAAAAATATAGTTATATAAGTGGGCTTTCCCCAAAAATGTTTTTTTGGTTACCATGTAGAACAACAATCTACCCTCACGTTTGAGGACGCCGACTCGTCCCGGAACTACATGTTGGGCACGAAGTTCCTCCAGGCCGCCGTATTTTTGCCTGAAATTGTGAGCTTTACCATCAGAAACTTTCTTATCTTGTTTAACTATACTATACCTAAATATTTTAGCGATGCCTCGTGACATTTTCAGATCTTGCGAAACACAATGTCCCAACGAGTAATCTAGTGGAGCAGAGAATAAATCTGCTCTAACTTCCTCGTAATCGCAGTAGTGGGTGACGCCTGTATTGTATTGTGCCCACCACATCTTCCACTCCGCATCGCTGTACTTTTGGGGTCTGTATCTTCGATTCCTGCAGATTATTATGTATTATATAATAAACATTCTAAAGCAAACGCCAGCTTCTGAGACCGGCAGAGCTGGATGTTTATCGTTTATTATGCCGGTATTTTCAAGGTACACACCTTAAATAGTGTTGTGATGATCTATTTGCTTGATTCTTTTATATTAACAATAAGGATTTATTACAGATATCTCAAGTGTTCCGATTATACAACGATAACTTTGCATGAGAGCGCACGCGATGGTTGACACATCTGCAATAGAAGCATATTATTAAACCTTGAGATATACATGTCTATACCAGTGGCGGTTCCACTGTAGGAGCACATGAGCACGTGCACCCCCAAAATAAATAATAAAAAATATGTATAACATCCATTTAATAGTTTCTCAAATAAAGTTCGAGCCTCCCTGATGTTTAATCGTATAACATCAAAGATCTAGTAGCTCTCCACTGGTGAGTCACCAGTCTTACCGCTGCGCTGCCTGATTCGGGCAATTCGGACTTGTGATTTGGACTGGCCCGGTCCGACTGCCGCCGACCTGTGACGGCGGATGACGACGAATAGTCGCATTATGCGATCACAGCCGACGTCAACTACGAGCCGTGAACAAAGAAATCTGGCAACGTAGGTGGTAGTGTTACTCCCGCTGAGAAAACATAACCTTTTAATTTGTGATTTTGGAATCGCAGAGGCTGTAATTAAGAGATAAGCTTGTTTTCTAAGCTTCAAAGTGTGTGTATGTGTTCAAAGTGATCGGTGACTATAATATATGAGAAATAGACTCCAGTTGTAGTGCTTCTGTGCTTTAAAAATAAACTAAGAAGTGTGACTGTGGCTGTTCGCGCCTCAGGACGCTAAGGATTTCAACTATTGAAAACGTGCAAATTCTGATTATATATATATAATACAAGTGTAATAAAAGGAGAATTGAAGCGAAATGAATTTTGTAAGCCTATTACCAATAAATATGATTATAGAGTACAATTTTTAAAAAAATTCCTGATATGGTTAGAAAAATGGCATAATCTAGAGAATAATAATGGACACCTGACACCAGAAACGTATACAGCTCTATATCAAAGCACGCTGACTCTACTTAATATAATTGAATATTCATTTAATCAATTTGACATTGAGTATGTATTGCCTGGAAAATTCACCACTGATAATTTAGAAAAACGATTTGGCAATTATAGACTTTTATGTGGCTGCAATTACAATGTGTCATATGATGAAATTTTAAATGCTGAAAAGAA